CCCCGCCCCCCAGGCCCCTTCCTCCCACCCCCTTTCCCTGCATCCCATTCCCAGCCCCTGCATCCCAGTCCCAGCCCCGGCATCCCAGTCCCTGCATCCCAGTCCGAGCCCCGGCATCCCAGTCCCTGCATCCCAGTCCCAGCATCCCAGTCCCAGGGTGGCAACTTCCAAAGGCAGCTTTTCAGAAGGGAGGGCAGAGGTGGGATGAGGGGGGAAATGGTTTCAACTGGACCTGGGGAGATGGAGGTTGGACGTGGAGGAGGAAATTCTTCCCTGTGTGAGGGTGGGGAGACCCTGGGACAGGTTGGACAGGGAAGTTGTATCTGCCCCATCCCTGGGGGTGTTGAAGGGCAGGTTGGATGGGGCTTGGAGCAACCTGGGCTGGTGGGAGGTGTCCCTGCCCATGCAGGGGGTGGGACCTGATGGGCTTTAAGGTCCCTCCAACCCAAACCACTCTGGGATTCCATGAAATTCCTGCCCAGGCCCTGCCAGCACAGCTGCTGTGGCCACAGGACATGATGCCCCATGAGCACAGTGACACCCCCTGGGTGAAGGACCAACACCAGCCAGGCTGGGGAGTCCCCAGGAAATCCCTCCCACTCTTGAGTGGCTTCTAAAATCCCCCCTCCCCTCCGAGCCCAGTGCCCTGGTTTTGGGGCAGAGCTGGTGCCCCCCAGAGGCTCTTACTTCTCTTGCTCTTGTCCTTGTTGAGGATCTGCCGAAGCTCCTGCTCCTGCTGCCCTGGCTCAGCCTCCCGGTGGGGGGGCTCCATGCTCACCTGCCAGGGGAGAGGGACATCAGCACCAGCTCACCCCAGCCTGGCCCAGCCCAAAAAGCCCTTTTGCCCCCTCTCCAAGCCCAAGGCACAACCCCACGGTGATGGAGCACGGCTGAGAGGGGCTGGTTGGTCATTTCTGGTGGCCAAGAAGAACCTGTGGAGCTGTTGTTGCCCCACAGCAAACCAGATGTGCTGTTGCCTCCAGGGACTCTCACCCCTGGGACATGGTGAAATTCAAAGCAGCCTGTTTCAACTTGCTGCCCTTCATGGGGTTTGGGCAGAGCTGCAGTTGGGGAGCGTGGCAAGAACGTGTCAAATAAAGCCCATGGGTTTGCTATAAAGGGAGGGGGGGGAAGAAAAGAAACTTGCACTGGTCTTAAAAGTTTGGAGAGTCTTCCAGAGGTGAGGGTTTTGGAGATGGTTCCATCCCCCAGGGAGGTCAGAAAGCACAAATGTCTCCAAGGTCATGGTCATGGCAGCAGCAGCATCTCCTGTTCTCCTTGTGTGGACCAAGTTGGGCTCAGCCTCTCCCAGAAAGCCCCAGTGTGACTTGCCCAGGGCTTCCAGACAGGGTTACTGGGACCAGTGAGCCTGAGCCAGCCATGGGGTTGGTGCTCAGGGGCAGAGCACATGGGACACAAGGGATGCAGATGAGGTTGGTGGCTTAGTCCTTGTTTAGGTGAGCAGGTACCACGGCCTCTTCCACCACCCAAAGGGAGTTCTGGAGCTCCAAGGAGCACAGCAGAAGGATGAGCAGGACCACAGTGCCAGGAGGGACATCCCATCTGGAGTTATGGAACACTGGGCAACACGGGGCTGGGCTGGGGGTGATCTCTGTGCTTGTAGATGGTCACAGGTCACCTGGGCAACCTCAGCAACCTGCCCCACCTCTGGAGCTGCTCCAGAGGAACCATCCCAGCTCAATCTTGCTGCAAGTCTGTGCCAAAGCAGAGTCCTGGCAGCAGAGGCTGTGCAGGAGCAGGGAGTGCTGCTCCCAGTGACAAGCAGGGAACTTCAGTGAAGACTTCCCAGAAGAGCAGATGAAGCTTGTGAAGTGAGCAAGCTGTGTCTCCAGGGCTGGTGGCCCAGCCAGTGGGAGGTCACAGACACCAGGCATCCTGTCCAGTCCCTCTGGCTCCTGGCTCAGCACACATGGAACGTGGCTGGAACCACATTTCCCTGCTCTGCACGTCCCAGGAGGCCCCAACCCTTCCAGTGGCCTTGGCAGGACACGGAGGTGGCCCCAAAGTCACCCCTGAAACCCTCCCAGCTGAGCCCATCCCTGGCTTCCCCACCCCAGAGACACCTGAAAAGCACCACAGACTTCCCAGCTCAGGGGAAAGAAGGACCTGAGAAGGTTATTTGAGGCTTGGGATAGGAAGCTGAATCAAGGGGAGGTTTGGGTTGGAGGGCAGGACAAGGTTCTTCACCCAGAGGTTGGTTGAGCACTGGAACCACCTCCCCAGAGTCCCAGCACCAAACCTGCCCCAGTTCAAAAAGCACTGGGATGATGCTCTCAGGCCCATGGGGTGATGCTTGGGCTGCCCTCCCCAGGGACAGGGATGGCCTCAGTGGTGCTGATGGGTCCCTTTCCAACTCAGCACATTCCAGGATTCTATTCCCAGTCTCTTCCTCTCAACCCCTGCCAGAGCTGGGAGCTTGGCCAGGCCCAACCCTGAGCTGGGCACCCCTGAGCTTTTTGGGGGGCTTTTTGGGGGCCCAGAACTCCCCCCACGGGGTACCCTTACCCTGACGTGCTGGTGGGCGAGCTGCTCCACTTGCTGCTGGTGCAAACTGGCCAGGAAGAGCTGGTGCTGGAGGTGCTGGGTGTGCTTGAGGGCCAGCAGGGCAGTGTCCGAGCTGGGCTTCACCAGGCGCTGCCCGATGCGCAGGTCCATGGGGGCAGCCTGGGGCACCCCTGGGGAGGTGCACGGGGTCACAGCAGCTGTGGAGACACAGAGTGGGCACAGCTCAGTGTCTCCTTGCCCCACCTGGGAGCAGGGAGAACCAGCAAATCGTTTGGGTTTGGAGAAGATCTTTGAGAACATCCAGCCCGAGCCGGCGCGGCCGCTAAACCGCATTGAACGCGGCTCTGAAGCCCTTGCAGGGATGGGGGATCCCCTTGCAGGGATGGGGGATCCCCCCCTGCCCTGGGCAGCCCGTGCCAGGGCCTGACAACCCCTTTCCACGAAGAAATGGTTCCCAAGATCAAGACACTGATCCCAAGAAATTGTTCCTGCCCCTCCTCCCCAGGGCAACTTGCGGCCGTTTCTTCTCATCCTGTCGCCTGTTCCTTGGGAGAAGAGACCAAACCCCCCTCACTCCTCCAAGGTCTCCCCTCCAGGCTGAACAACCCCCTGTCTCCTCAGAAGACCTCTCAGACAGGCAGGGAACTGATGCCCAGGAGGGCACCTCCAGCCCCAACAGACAGAAGCCAAACCCAGGGGTGCTCAGCTCCTCCTGCACCTCCAACCAAGGCACCAGCACGTGGGCAAGGACGGGCAGGAAGGGGCCAGGGCAGCACCCCAGCAGCTGAGGGACACCCCAACAGGCCCCATGGTGTCCCCACCAATCCTGGGCATCACAGCTGGGTGCAGCTGGGCAGGAAAAGATGCTCCAAGGGGGCTGCTCCAGCAGGACATGGGGCTGCTGCAATTGTTTTCCAAAAACAGCTGCAATTTTAAGAAAACAACAACCCCCACCCAAACACAACAGAGAAATGACCACACCCTTGATGAGACCAGGGAGCTGCAGCACCCAGGAGGAACCTCAGTAGCTCCTGCACCATGACCAGCACCCACAGGGGAACCCCAGCACCCCTGCCTGCCCAAGGAGCACCAGTGTGTCCACCCCAGCAGGGCACAGGGCTGGGAACAGCCCTGGGGACACAGCCCTGGGGACACCACATCCCTGGGGACAAGGAGCCAGTTCCAGCTTCCCTGCAGGACCCAGGCAGGGAAAAGTCCCCCCCTGGCTGAGGGCAAATGTTCCTCAACCCTCCAGGACACAGGAACCCTCCAGGACACAGGAACCCTCCAGGACACAGGTACCCTCCAGGTTGGAGAAGGACCTGATGCTCCCAGGCAGCCCCAGCAGAGGTTTGATCCTGTTCTCTGGCTGGTGATTGACTTTGTCCCTGGCTCATTGGCTCTAATTGCCCCCCCTGCCTGCCCCAGCATCACCAGCAGGACATGGAGGTTGGGGGTGATGAATAAGCAGAGCCTGAAGCTGCTGAGCTTGTGGGATGGGCAGGATGAGCCCCTGGGATGGGCAGGATGAGCCCCTGGGATGGGCAGGATGAGCCCCATGGCCCCCAGGGGGTCAGGCAGGGCAGGGGAACAGGTCTGAGCTGCACTTTCACCAGCACAAACAGGAGCCTTGAGTGAAGTGACCCAAGGCAAGAAGACCCAAGAAGACTCCACGTGCCCTTTGACACCTGCAAGAGGCCAGGGCACCCCAAAAAGGGGCCATGGGGGTCACAGCTCCTCCCAGTGCCACCCACGGGGCTGCAGGGCTTGTTCCCAGCACCTTGGGAGGCTGAACCTGCTGCTCCTGACACCTCCCAGAGCTTCAGCAACCCCCAAAGGGATGTTGCTCAACACCAACTGGGTGGGGAGGATGCAGGAGATGAGCTGGGCTGTCACCTCCTGCTTCTCAGCTCTGCTGTGTTCCCACCTCCCAGGGTGGAGGAGGAGGAGGAGGAGGA